GGGAGTGAATCCTTCTGCTTGTTGGTTGTAACATTGCTAAGAAACAAGGAACTAAGGTCGGAATCGACCTTAGTTCCGTCAGGGATTGTGGATAGTGTAAGATAACTGCTACCTCAAATCGGCTGCTACTCAAGGCTAACTGAAACCCAAGCTCGAATACTACTCTGCATTACCTACCAGTGGGGCAAACTTCAGCATTTCGTGCTTACAGGAAGTAATTCGGACTTTTGAAATAAGGTTTACGCATACAGCTATCCATGAACAAGATCCCTGTTTATTTGGTGCATGCGCCCGTCAGCTGCATATGAAGATGTTTCAAGATAACATTGGTGAACGCCAAAGTGTGATTCCTGCAACTTGCGGACATGTCGGCCCTATTGGATCCGCGTACATGCGTCATGCTCTTCCCCGCGCGAATTTCGGCCCGCTTAACTTTCTCTGAGACGACAACATGAACAGTTACCAGAAGCTTTCACTCAGGTCCAAGTTGGGAGTGGTTTAAAGCAATCGGTTGGACCAGATTATTTTGATACTACAGAATTTTTGACACGAAGAAACTCATATTGCGAAATGATGAAGAGGGAAATAATACACATGCTAGCTCTTGGTTTGCTGCTAAGCGTATTACTCCGCGAATCTTACAACCTTTTGGCACATTACATGTGGAGCCGTCCTACGCATTTTGCATGCGAACGTGCTGTATACACAGTGCGCACGATATCTTATTATCCGTTGATTCAGCACATTGAGAACTTCATCACTCCAAAAGAGATCGAGCATCTAAAACAAGTTGCGTAAGTTTCATGCTGTAGTCACATGTTTGGGATTGGCCTCATAAGCACGCAGTGAAGCAAGATACACCCGGTCAACGATCGGTGTTGGAGTTTCCGATACACGCAATAGCTCGACCGCCTACATTCCTGCAGATGATCCCATTGGTATCTGCATCCAAGCTAGAGCAGCTGAATTTCAAGGATACATGAATTTGAAACTGATGGAGACCCTTCAGCTTACGAAGTATACTAAGGATCAATTGTTTCTCGATCATTACGACTTCAAACACAACGATGAGATTTCTCCAGGGACATATAACCGAGAGACAACTTTCTTCGGAATCCTTGAAGCCACCTGCGAAGAATGTGGCACACGATTTCCTCGAATTCAGGCAAACTGGACGCATGAGGACCCACGATGGTGCCGAATAGTGGACTGCGATGCAGCTGACTTGGTTGTCAAACCTACCCCAGGCAGTGCAACCTTCTGGGTCAATTTGTTGCCCGATGGGACGGGAAACGAAGATCTGCTACATGGTGGCCTCCCCCCGCAGGCAGAATCTGGCAAGAAGATTGGATTGAACATCTGGACACTGAAGCTTGTCTAATCGGAAGTGGCATTCTATCGACCATGGTTCCTATGAGTGGATCAGGTGATGGGCTCTTGGGGTGTGGCCATACAGATTCGGATATGCGAGAATTAAAAATAAGGGAAAATGAGATTGATATTAACTTTCGTCTCCACTCCGTATCTTCAGCCACCTGAAACTATGTTCTTACAGTCATTGACGAATGTCTTAGACTTCTGTGAAAAGCATAACTCATCTCACAGCGAAGATCTGTTCTACGAGTCACTACAATACAAGAGGAGAATGAAACTTGTCTTTGTTGAAATAGAAAAAACCAGATGTGATGTTCGTATATATGTCATATAACTCTAGTTATATACTCATAGTGAATGCTGCGAAGGCTAAAGTCACGCGATGCCACTTGTTACAATGTTTGTCGACGCACGGAAAAAAGTCTTCGAGAGTATGGAGCATCTGAAATGCGACTATCTCTCATTAACCCTGAATTTGTTTCAAAAGCATTTACGGCAAAGCCATGAAAACCTCCAACATCTTTGGAAAGATTGGGGTACCCATTCCAGTGAGAGGATCCCACCCTGGCGCTGCGGCAAAGCCAGAAGTATTGCATCCAGGATTGTGACCTTCCTTGATGTCATTGAACATTTGAGGATTGGCATAGAGTACAGGATTGATGAAGCCTACAGATACTTTCCCTGCGTTGTATCTCGCTTCGTTAATCAATGTAATAATCGAGGCAACTGTGGGTGTAGAACAAGATGTACCATATATAGTGGTCCATTTCCCCATTATAGCAATGGCGTAATCAGCTCCATTAGCAGACAGATCTGGATATCCGCGCGATTGCTGGGTGCTGTTGTACTGATGGGCAGTATATGAAGGCATGTGGTTGGTCAGATACGACTCGACTGCCGGGACTTGATATTGCGGTATCGGAAATACATCACTAAAGCCACCTCCGGATATAATCTCGGTTTGACAAGCCTTTTCGCGCATAGCATGTAGGGGGGATGTTTCATTTCTCTTGATCAGTTCTGTGGCGCCAACTGAGGTAACGTAGGGGCAACTGCCTAAAATCCTTCAGATCAGCGTGGGAGTGTTTGACTTTGGTTGCGGAGAGAGTCCCAACTCACCAGGAAACGAAGGAACAAACCGGCCGCCTAAGTTTCCATCACTCAGCTTTCCTGTGAGCTCACTAGAAGGAGTGACGAAACGTCAGCAGTGTTACGGCATGTTAGAGAGAGCGTTGGTTCACAACGTACTCAATGCACCTACCACCTCCACCAGCGACACCATCATCGCCGCTAGAGAATAGCATTGTCACACCCATCAACCCAAGTTTCATGTATCTGAAGCAGTTAGCAACTTCTCTAGTAGTTCATTGTTAAGGTTTCTCAAGCAGCGACTGTACTTACTCATAACACTGTCGCCGCATGTATGCAGGGCCCAAATAGATCTCATCATAGTGGTATGAAGTCGAAATGACTTTGGTAGGAGGGAATATTCCGCAATCTCTGCTCTTGTAACCTCCAAGTGCAGGATCTGGATATAGTTCATCCTTGTTTGGATCGGGATCTAGTAGTGGTATGAGTATTCAGTGAACGATATGTTGCCCGCGCCATCACTCACCATCGCCGCCTTCGTAAAGACAGTACGAAGCACTGAGAATTAAAGATTTCAAGGTAAGCATGCGTCTCTGAAAGCCATTCCCAAATGAAAACGACCAAAACGAAAATTGGGTATACACACTCAATGCCGTCCAGGAAACTATTACCTGAACCACCTTGCACAATGTCTCCAACCTGAAACAGCGTCACCTGCTGAGGGTACACGAGGCTCATTGTATATGCGAGGTTCATGTCACTTTCGGCGTTGAACCTGGGTCCTGACTTATTCAGCTGGTTCACCCCACCTTGAATCGGATGAAAAATTGGACGTGCTCCAATTTGCGACGGAGAAAAGTTCGCGAAGAACAAATCTAAATCAGAAGGTCGATATGCTCCCGGAGTGAATTCTACAACTCCCAGGCTATTGTTCGGATTTGCACTCGATCCTTTGGGGAATTGATAGAGCTGTCGCAGACATTGAGGCGTGATCTGAGATTTAATCAGTCTATTTTCTTCCAATACTTGGATCGCAATATACTCGTTTATAACAATCAGCCGAATCTTCATTCGTATTTGGTATATGAGTGGTGTGTCGCAAGGAATACGCATGACCCCTTAGATTTAATGGGTTGCCACTGTGTTTACCAAAAGTCATGCGAGCGTATCTCGCTTCTGACTGCACATCGAAGTGCACTGTAGGCGTAATAAGGTCTATTTTATCACGAAGACCAGCGGGTATACTGTACTCATCGCAAGCCAAGAGGAGCTGATTTGTCTTTTTATGGGTAAAGATGTGGTATTTAGTTTTCAACAGGCGCTCTGCTTGGTCAATCGTAGCATTGAATCGAAGCCAGCCAAGACTCTGGGACTGCTCAATGCGTTCAGTAATGATACCAACTGAATTAAGCCAGGTTTTGACAGGTTCAAGCGTGAAGTGACTGCTGTGGCATTAGCAAGAAACCTGAACGTGAACGACGACATACCTCGGTGCAAAAGCAGCCGCAACATCTTTTGGTGACCAATGCTTGCCATAGCTGTCGGAGTTTGGATTTGACACTTCCAACAACCATTTCTCGCCCTCCTCCAAGTTGCGCTGCGCAAGTGCAATACTTATCGGAATTGACGAATTTGCTAGATTGAGATCTTCTGCGCTGTGTCTCTTCACCCATTCAGGCAAGTTTGCACTCCTGCGTTCGTGGAGCACATATGTATCGAATGTTGAAGCCAATGTCGCTAAATTTGACAACAGAAAAATTGCGATGCTTAACATATTCATTATCAAAGCTTCTGGGGCATGAGCTTTATGTTTGGAACAACATGCAAGCGGCTTACATGGTGTAAATGGTTTTTGACCAGCAGCTTCTCGAGAATCGACTTAAAAGGTTGGAGTATGGCGAGCGAGCAGGACAGATATATAAGACTGAAATGAATTGGCTGTAATCAAGTTCGGTCGAAGGATAATGTATCTAGGCGGCAGGTAGCCTGACCTTTTACAGAGAGCGGGACCGTAATCACGTGGTACCAGTCTCACTGTCCATGCACCGGCAATACCGGACACGAATGCAATCATTAACCGTGCATGAAAATTAGGTTAGACTATTGCAAGGCCCCCGGCCACCACGGAAGAGATGTGGCCATTCTTTGCGTCATATCTTAATGCCTATCGGCGACACGATCAAGCAATGATGCAGCCAAAATTCCAGATTGCAGAGAGTACGATCGTTTTCTACTATTGTTCCGCATGTGTTACGCCAATACAACGATTCGAGACTTCGTGACTGATTGAATGACATGAAACAATATAGGGGAAGTTTGACGAGACATGCTGTTCTATGTAAGAGCACATGTGAACGAGACGAAGATACCAAAACTGTACTAAAGCTCCAAAGACTTCCCATTCTTAGCTCTTCTATCTAGCCATTCGCGGATGGGCCCAAATTTTCGACAGGTGTGAGGTCCAGATCTGCCCAACGCCAGCGGCGCATCGGCCTCAGGCCAGAGAGGAGCGGGTGTAAGGTCGCCGAAGCATTGAACAGTCTGTCGAAGTTGATCCATGCAATGCTCGATGTGTGTTGCTTTCCAGTGGGGATCACTTGCATCTTCAAGACTGTGCATGTGGTGCGTTGCACTGACGTTGTAGAGTACGCTGTTCAATTCAAGTCGAATCGCATTGATACAATGAAGCGAGTGAAATACCGTCAGCCTGTGAGAGACCATGTGTCAGTATGTACATTTCCGATAGTCATTAACGATTGCTCTTGCACTTACTCAAAATGATATTCGTTATCTTGCGGCATGCGTTTGAGCTGCGGAAGAAATGGTCCAGCCTCGTGCTCTGTCATCGTAGGGAATTCGTCTGTTCCCGTGTCAATTAATTGTTATGAAACTTTGAGAGGATTTTCAGCAGACATCTTAGTAAATCTTTCCAGGCCTGTTCCAGATTTTGACTTGGTGGACCAAAGTATTCAATATCTCCATCTGGAGCACGTATGGTCCGCCGTTGTTTTACATCATATATCAAACCTCCAGTGAAGTGTCTGTTTTCGTACTCAATTGAAGAGCGAGCATCATGAAGATCAGTGGGCCTGATGAAGGTCCCAAAATGCTTGAGAGTAGCAAAATTCAGGAAACTGAAAGCAATTGACAGTAGCACATTGATTGCGGTAAAACGCCATAATACGATGGTGCGACTGTGGAGAGTTTTCTGTAGGGCAGCTTTTGAAGGACCTTCACCGTTGTTTCCAAGCAGGGAAACTTCGTCCTCCTGCTTTGGATCCTCTTGCTTCTGCCTTGAGAACTGCATCTCATCAGTCACCACTTTTGAAGGATCACAAGGCTGACCGGCGATGTGGTCTGGGAGCTGCCGCAATGATAAATTTGTGGTGTCGGGGAGGGGTGTAAGAGAAGAGGGGCATGTGCGGTTAGGGACAAGTGTTGGTTGGGGAATGGCACAAGGTTGGAGACGTGAGTAAAGTCCGAAAAGAGCGTAAGATGAGGGAGGGGTAAGTTTGGAGAGTGTTGCAATGTGGGGAAGCGAAGAAGACAGGCATCTTCTGGGTGTTGGAGTGAGCGGGCCTACATCGGAAATCCCATTATATTACATCGGGTTAAGCACATACGTAACACAAGTCAAGCTAAATCTTTTAGGCTCGATGAAAGTTTTGACGTAAAGGATTAAGGTTTCGGACGGCTCGGGACGTACTTGCCGTTGAAGTTGATTGAGTCTAGTGCTTACTAGCGGCAGGAGTTGACATTGTAACATAAGGTTGTAGAATCGATTGCAGCCTTTGGAATTAAGAACATGCATTAAGTAGTTTCGCAACATGCAGTCAGAATGCATGCGTGCTCATGCATTCACACCAGTCACTAACTATATTACCCTGCCGGCAGATGTATACGCTGAGGGAAGCGGTCTTATTGACCAGAACCGCCCTCTGGCGGAACTGAAATAGCCGGACAACACCAAACCACCACCAAAAGTAGCCACTTTGAACGCTAAATAT